CTGTTATAAACCCAACATAATCAGCCAGTTACTGTATCCTTTCTTGAACAGGAGAGACTGTCAATGAATGGTGGTCCAGTGATGCAATCTGAACTTCTTGATACTAGCATTATTTTAGCACACTATTATATCTCACAGACAACCATTCAGTTGTCAAACTGAGTCTCAATTGCATTTCAGATAAGATTTACACAAATATTTTGACTTCATAAAAACAAGCTAATCAAATAAACCTAACTAGCTATTAGCAGAAAATACTTCCCCCCACCCCAGCAGGTATATTTCAACTTCCTGTTTTAGTTCTGGTTGCTTCTGTCTCTTAGAAACAGCTGGTCACTGATGCATAGCTGGTCACTATGATTCACACCGTATAAGCCTATTTCCAATTGACAAACCATTCTGCCTCTGTACTTCCTGCTTGCTCATCTCATGTAAACACTAGATCACCAGAGATCAGGGCCTGATATTTTGTGAATGATCCCAGTCAATGTTCATTGATATAAAATACATCTGCCTCCAAATCCTGGATATAGTTTTAGTGTTTCTAATTGCTGTTGCATCTGGTATGTTGGCTGGGAAAACTGACCATGCTGACCTCTTTGGTCACTAGTCATAGCCCTTGCAGATGGAGCAAGGATCTTTCCAGGTTCCATGGGAAGGCACACCTTCAAGATCTCTCAAGTTCCCTTGGAGGTCCGGAGGAGGTTTCCTGGTTTCCCACTTGAGCAACTCACATTGGACCCCAAAGTGAGGAGGATGCAATCTGTCTGTCTATCTACCTGCCTGACTCTGGTAAGAGCCCTGGGGGCACCCCAGTTAGTCATTCCTGCTCAGTTCAAGAAGAAGAAGCACTTGATCAAATCTTGTTAATTAAAGCCATCCTCAAGGGAAGGGGGTTTAAAATGTTTTAACCTCTGAGTGTCTGTTGAATGAACATGTGAGTGAGTGGAATGGATAGTATAAGCAATAAGCTGCTCCATCTGTGCACCAAGACTGTGAAGCACTGGTTGTAATGGCTGACTGGGACCTCACCTGTGGTTCTGTGATGATCACCATATGGCATAATGGAGGCCTGGCATCTGCCTTAGCTAAGTTGTGCCTAAGTCCCTAAGAGAAATGCAGCCACATGGGCATCTGAATGGTCTCTCTCTCTGAGGGGCATCCACCCTTTGTCTGATGCAACATTGTCCAAAGATACAAAACATATGTAGAAAGTCAGAGACGGGAGTTACTTAGTCAAAGCCCCCAGTCCTTGAATGCAGGAAAAGGGGCTTTTAAAGAAATAAAAATAAAACCAAACTGCTCTCTGCATCTCAAAGAAGTGGGGGAAAAAAGAGAAAAAAGAGGTCCATTTTTCCTGAAAATTCCACCTTGGCACTCTTGTTGACTTCTACAGTTGCTAACAACACCTATAACTTCATCCCCCACTCTTGACTTGTCTACTTCCAGCCAACTGGACTGGTTCCAGCTAGTCACTGCCTGCATTCAGCCACAGAGACCCTCCTCTCGTAGCCTTCTGTTTACATGGCATCATCTAACACCTACCTGGGATGACTGTCAGCAATTCCTTCTGAGTTTCACATTTTGACTGAGGAAAATTGGACTGTCAGTCCTGATGAATGAGTTTCCATGGGCTTTATAAAAGATTGCCTCACCTAGAAACAACCCAGGCTAGCCCTTCTCAAAGATATCAAAAGGAAGACTGGAAGCCCTCTGACTACTGTTACCCAGAAACTTCATTAAAAAAGGTGCCTGATGTCTGTAAGAAAATCCAGTCTGATAGATGACCATACCTTCTGGCTATGAGTTATAAGGATTGTGTACACACACACATACACACACACACACACAAACTTTCAAAAACTTCAGTTTGGATCAGATGACAACTCTTTCATCAGTTTGACAACTCACACTAGCACTGGGTTCCCTTTTTCAGCTGGGCCATGAGGAGCCCATATCTCATCACTGGCACTCTCTGCCTGTCACCCCTTCTGCCAGGATATCTTGCCAAACAATTCCATAAAAGCCAGTCCATGTACTGCTTCTGGGAAGAGACCTCCTCTTAAAATTATAAGTGACCATTTCCATTGTACCAATCCACTCGGCCTCCCTCTCATTTCACCCTGCACTTTCAAGTCTGAATGTTCTGAGCAGAAGATGATGCCTGCATTAGCCTGAGACAGATAACTATAATTCTGAAGTTCTGAAAACTTTCCTCTCAGAGGAGTGGACTAGAGACTCACCTCTGGCCCTGGCCATCAACCATTCCAATTCAATGTCATCCTTGCTGCTGTCAAATGTTATGGGAAAACCAAATAGGTATCCAGTCACATATCAGCCTGAGAGATTATTAATCACGTTGGACAAGATCTCCATGCCATCAACATCACAGCCATCACTGTACATTTGTGGTTCCCAACCCATGCACTTTTTATGGGCTGTTACTCAATTGCCACAAAAGTTTGGGGATGCATCCACTACTTTTAGGAAGGCTCTAACAACAGATTTGGCTGCTCTGAGACAGTCTGTTTCTCTGTTCCTTCCAAGGCCACAATTCTGTCACTGTCTCCCTGGGTCCTGACATTAGGCCTCTGATTGTGATGGGGCAACCCCCACCTGCATCAAACAGTATCCCATGCCACAAGAAACTTGGCTAGAAATTCAACATACACTGACAAACTGCTGAAAGGTACCTCTTCTGCCTGTAAAGCCGGTTCAAGATCTCTGAGCTGCCAATGCTGCCATGACTGCCCTCTGTATACATTGTCTCAGACTTCTGCCACCCACATCCACCTGCCTGGACCTAAAGAATACCTTATTCTGCCTTCAGTTGGCTCCCATCAAACAAGCCCTTCTTCCCAAAGGCCCCAGTTCTGGACTCAAAAGTTAACTGACCTAAATTCAACCTCCCAAAGGTTCAAAACCTTATTTCTTCTTCACTGTACTTCTGATTGATGACACCCAAGCTGCCTGCTGGAAAGACACAAAAGCTCTGTTACAATATCTGATATAAACTGGTTATAAAAGAAACTGCAAATTTCTTGGAGCTATCAGTTTCTACAGAAAACAATTATGCTTACTCAGACTGTCAGCCCCTGGGAGTGCCCAGTGGCCTACCTGTATAAATACTTGGATTCATTCACCAAAGGCTATTTCCTCCCTTTGCCTCTGCTCTCATAGCCATGTCCCTTTTGATCAAGAAAGGTGACAAGCTCACCTTTGACCAAGATCTAACTGCCCAGGTGCCATGGGCTGTACTGGGATGAACTGTTCTAAAAATGGACCCCCTGACAGGCTGAGCACACCGTGTTTACAGGTGGAAGTAGCCCTATTAGGAAGGAAGTCTGACAGGGTAGAGATGCTGTGGTCATCTTGGACAAAACTGTTTTGGCCAAAACTCTTCCCACAGGAATGATACTTCTTGCTGTTGTTTGGAAACCTGCCACCAATGACACAAAATAATCTGGTCCAGAGGCCTAAGCTCTCCCTGAGGACCCAACTGACTTAAACATCAATCACAGCCAGGATAACTTCACCCAGTATTCTTGGAAGATAAGACCAGGCCTGCTTCCATTGTTTGTTCTGAAAGCTCAAGCCACAGTGTTAGCACCCATAGCCCTGCAGCCAGCTCAGGCTTCAGCATGTTTCACTGATCCTGACCTCATGCATTATAGTGGACTCTCCCCATTTAAAGATATATAGATAGATTATAGAAAAATAAAACTTCATACAGAGTACAGGACACAAAGCTTTAGTAAAGTTAAAAAACAGCTTGTAACTCACACATATATAACCCAGATCACTGTTAACTACCTCTACAAGTTTCAGAAATTCAGCATTAGATCCACTGAAAAATTTACCTGGACCAGACAGCTCACCCTGAAGAGATGATGCATTCAAAGGCCTGCTCTCATCATTCTGGACGCTGACCAGTCCATGTATGGCTGAAGCCTGAGGACATCATTCACAGGACTGTTCCATACCTATTCCCCTTGAATTTTGTGTCTTTTCAAGCTGTTTACAACAGTCCTTGCTTCCCTATCTCCTGCTAGTTGTGGTTTTTGCCTTAAAGGCTCCCAAGGAGACTAAAATAATCAACTGAATACCTTGCCAAGATTTGATGAGCATCCAAGGTACACAGAATACTCTCCTCGATCAGATGAACTCTGTCACTACCTTGCAAGAGTAATGTTACAGGACAGGCCTAAATTCTAGTTGGGCCTTGTCTCAGAAGATCACAAATAATATGACCAACAAAGATTTGCCAGGGAAACTAAAAGTGGGGGAAATATAGCAGAAAACCCCCTTCCCTAGTCAGTATACTTCAGTTTGTTAGTTGCCCAGGTGATAATTCCTGTTCCAGATCTGATTGCTCCTGTCTCTTAGAAACAGCAGGTCACTATGATGCACATTGTATAAACCAATTCCCAACTGACAAACCATTCTGCCTCTGTACTTTCTGCTTATTTATCTCATATAAGCCCTAAACCAACAGAGATTTTGGGGTCTGATATTCTAGGAATGATCGGAATCAGTGCTCATTAACATAAATAAATCTGCCTCCAGATCCTGAGTGTCATCTTAGTGTTTCTGCTTGCTGTTGCAGTTGAACTGAGGGGCCTGCAAGATTGAAATGTAGTGACTTCACAAATTGACACCCAGTGTAAGAGCTATAGAGGAACAGGCACATCTAGCCAGAAAGTCTTTGGGCAGAATGTCCTGGTATATATGGTGTTTTTAATAAGCTAATTCTAGCTGGCCACAGTGGTTCACACCCATGATCCCAGCTATACAAAAAGCCCCAGCTGAGCATGGCAGTGCACAATTGTCATCTCAGCACTCAGGAGGCTGAGGCAGAAGAATCATGAGTTCAAAACCAGCCTGAGCTACATAGGTTGACCCTGTTTTTAAAACAAACAAACCAAAAACAAGGTAATTCTAAAATTTCATGAGCACCAGAGGATGAAATCTGGAGGAGGGCTGGAAAGAAATTAAATTACCTTTCTGGGCACTGCTCTCCCCAGGGCTACCCCAGGGGTGGAGCAGAAGAGTCCAACGTCTACTCCGGGAGTGGCAAAAGAGGACTTGTCACTTGCCACTGCGATGTCACAGCTTGCAACCAGCTGACAACCAGCAGCTGTGGCCAAGCCATTGACCATAGCAATGATGGGGACAGGGTGGTTCCGGATCAGCATCATGACCTGCGGGAATATACACACCTGCTTCATTTCCATATAGACGCTGAAGCTGACTTCTTACCTGTTATTTTATCTTTCCTATTTCCAGAGCTTTTTATACACAGTAGTTCATCAGATGCTGTGAAAAAAAAATGCAAGAAAATACAAAAAGCACTAACTTGTATTAAATATCTACTGTGGACCAGACTATCATTTGGGCTTTCAGAGAACCCTATCAGAAAGGAATCTCATTTGGTACAAGGACAGGAAGCTCAGAGAGGGGTTGCCTGCCTCAGGCCACTTGCCGGGCTGACTGTCAGGGAGGCAGAGGTGACATCCCCCCCACTGAGGAAAAGTGAGGAGTTTTGTCTCCAGAGATCAAACAAAACCCTTCACAATAGTCCTGTCCCCCAGATGCCTGTGTGAAGTCCTTGTGTTAAAACTCTGAAATTAGTACTTGGTGCTCCCTTGAAAAATTAAGATGGAAAAGGGACTTGAAGGCAATTTCCTCAGTAATTACTTCTCAAATTACCTCCACGAATACTCTCTCAATTCTATTAAGTTAAAATGGGGAGGGGGGAATCCCTGCTGTCATCAAAATAAGCAAAAATTTTAAAACAGAGCCATTGGCACTCAGGAAATGGAAATGTGTTCATGTGACCTCTACTGCCAGAAATTGCAAGAACTTTCACTTATCTTTGCAGTTTAGTTTTTTCTGATACTCTAAAACAGATTGTGTTGCTATGGCAACTTCAATTTCTAAATTATTGCTCTTTGAACTCTGGCAGGGAGAGAAGTGAGATAGAAACTACATCTGGGTTTTTTTCCCAAGGCAGCAATTCAAAGAAAAATGACCTTCATTGATTTGAAGATTTTGCCTTAGGAAAGTTATCTTTTATATTCATAAACATTTGATATTTATCCGCTTCTTTTCTAAAATAAGCAGTTATACAGTTAGGGACTGCATAATGACACTTTAGTCAGTACAAACTGTATATATGATGGTAGCTCCATAAGACTATCATGGAGCTGAAAAATTCCTATCATTTAGGGGCCCTGTAGCTGCCACACCATCACACTGTAAGACACTGCTCATGCAGTTGTGATTCAGGTGTAAACACACCTACTGCACTGCCAGTCCTATAAAAGTGTACAATTATGTACCATACACAACACTTGACAATGAAAATAAATGACTGTGTTACTGACTGTTGTATTCATTATACTATACTTTTTTTGGTGCTGTTGATTGAATTATGGACCTTGTGCATGCTAAGCATACACACTCACTGAGATACATCTGGCTTCTATAATATATATATATATATAATTTTTTTTTTTTGAGACAAGGTCTCACTTATGTAGCCTAGGCTGACTTTGAACTCACAGTGATCCATTTCTTCCCAGCAGAAACCTCCCAAGCCTGGTCTTTACCATGAAGCTTTCTATCAGCATTCTGGTCCCCAGAGCTCTGACCAGAATCTCCTCTACAGAGCATCCCAAGCTGCTCCAGCTCTATGCCTCCAGGCGACATGTTTGAACCTTTCCAAACTCTGCCCACAAGCCATTTCCAAGGCCTCTCGAAAAACATGGTCAGGTATAATCACAGCAAATGACCCCACTCTCTACCAAATTTTGTCTTAGTTACTTTTTACTCATCACTGAGACAAAATACCTGATGACCAAAGTTGGAAAGGAGAGGTTCATTTCTTACAGTTTTTTGAAGTTTATTTCTTACAGTTTTTATAGCACTGACACCATCAATCCAAGCTCTAGACAATGAACCAATCACAAATGCACAATGCAAATGCATGAGGCCTGGGGGCCACCGACATAAACCATGACAGGTGCTCACCAAATCATTATTTCACAGTAGTAAAAAGAACGATAAATAACACAAGTATGCAGAAATAAGTAGATGGCTGCTATAGTGTAGGCGAAAGACTTCTGGCATGTTAAAGGCTTGGTTTTCAGGTGGTGCTACTGGAAGACTCAGAAACCCACGGGTGGTGGGGCCTGGTGGGAGGTCCTTCAGTCACCAGTGGTGTGTTCTCAGCAGGGACTTTGGGACCCTGGTCTCTTCCCATCTCTCTGCTTCTTGGCTCATGATGTAGCAGTTTGCTTGGATCTGCATGCTCTGCTGTTGCCATCCAGCACCCTCATCTAGGGCCCAAAGCAATGGGGTGGCCCGATCTTGGACTTGACTCTCTAGAACCATAAGCTGAACCTTTTTCTTCATAAGTTAATTGCCTCAGGTATTTTGTTGAAGTCACACAAAGCTAATACAGTAGTTACGCAAACTAAAGCATATCAACTTAATCAGATGCTACATTCTAAATAAGTGAAAGTGTCCTATGCTTATACCAGCATGGTGTTACAGGGCTTATTTAATGTTACACAGTCAGGTTGCTGGAATCTGATGCCCAGTCTATGCTGCCTTATCTCCTAACTCTAGCCAAGTCATCCAACTGTTCAGTTTTAACATCTGTAAAGTGGGCATAATATTAACACTAACTTTATAGAACATAAAAGTTATATAAATTAGTATGTTCAGAGTATTAGAAATATTACTAGGCACATAATAATAATTCAGTGCTATAGTCATATTGCTATACAAAGTCATACACTATAATCATACTTATATATTATTATTCAAATAGGCACATACAAAAATTATTAAAAACAAACAGCAAAGAATTAATTATAGTTTTCTCTGGATGGTATGATTATGGCATGCATGAGTAATTTTATTTTTTTCCTTTTGTTCTAGATTTTTTAAATCTTCTGTAATAAGTTCTTATTTTCATAATATTTCAAATAAAGCTAGTGAGAAGTCTGGAAAAGATGAAGGGAATATAGATAATAAACATGCTAGGATAATCAAACCCTTAATAGTTAAGGATTAGTTATACCTTCTTTTGACTGTCCTGAAATAAGTACTGTTTCTCGGTTTCACCTACTCCAGAATGTGACAAAAATTGAACTCTTCTCTAGCTTCTCTGAAAGGAATTACTGAGGATTCGAAGTTATTTCTAAAGATGAAGCAACCCTGTCCCATTGTTATTTAACTGGCGAGGCATAAGAACAAAAAAGTCTCCTGAAGGACTAGTTTCTACCTTCGAGCTTCAACAGGGTATAGGAAGAGACATAAGAGATACACAAGTTTCTAGTGTAAGCACCATATCACTGCCCTGAAGTTACTTTAGCCCTTCCTTAACCAAGTACTTGTCATTCTTTGCCCTAGTCCTGATTTGTAAGTTATTACCTATCAGGCAATACTTGTGATCTGTAAAAATTTGTATACATTTCTAGATGGTGAGCTAATTTTGATACCTCTTTCTTTCTAAAATAAAAATTTTCTTGTGTATGAAATAAATAAGGAAATATCTAGTTCATTCTGTTCCATACCTTCTTGTCGGTTACACTTGGAAATTGAAATCCTGCACAAGCTCATGGTACTCATATTTATCCAAGACAATTTGAATGTCTTAGGAATAGTGTTAAAGAAATCAACACTTTTGCACTCCTATTTTACTTCTAGGGCTGGGTCTGCTTATGCATTGAGTGACTTTCCAGTGAGTTAGAGGCATCCATAGTTTGGCAGCTTTCACGAAACTTGGCCTTTATCCTCTGAAGATGACCTGGCCCCCATGAGACCGTTGGCCAACCTATTCAGATCTCAGTTCAACAAGTTACCAAAGAAGAGTCACAAAAGCAGATGCTTTGGGGAGGGCAGAAGGACTTTACTGGTACTCTTAGAGTTTTAACCAACAATGCTGTGGATTAGTAAAAACCTAACTTTTAAAGCACCTAGCCATGGCAAACCTAAGAACAGAGTATGACATAAAAACACAATTAATGTAGAAAACAGAAATCTTAGCTCCAGCTTGCCTTACCCCCAAAGCTTCAAATTAATACTTTCCTCTTTGTCCTTCTATGAAATAAGAAAAATACAATCATATCTGTTTCTAAGTTTCTGGAAGGTCAAGGGAAACAAATAGTGATCAAGAATGTTCCTCTACCACCTTCCCACTCACTGTGCTGCTGCTCACCTGTCTTGTCCACACAGCAAGTATCATTATAGATTTGTTGGGCCATTAACAACCAAATGAATGAATGAATGAATGAATGAATGACTAGGTTAAGGAAGCTTAGGGTCAGGTTAGGAAACTGTTTCTCAGGTAGATTTCTAGTTTAAGTTTGGCAAGAAACATTTTTCTCCTTGTATTTCTCTCAATCTCTTGTAGGTATTATGTTTAAAAGATTTGCTCAATAAATACTCATTAAATGAACAATGTGTTACTTAAAGTTAGATTCTATTTTCAATTTTTGTTATCCAGTGGTTGATTTATAAATCATTCAAAACTTTTTGTACTTCTTCCTGTGGCTATTGGCAGTTTTTCTTCTTATTACAGTACAAGGGGCAGAAAAATGAAATTTAAAGACATTAGTTTGCCTACTTGGAGATGGTTTTTATAAAAGTTTGTTAAAAAATAATTTTAGAGCAAGCTGTGGTAGTGCACACTTGTAATCCCAGCCCTCAAGAAGTTGAGGTAGAAGAATCATGAATTTGAGGCCAGCTTAAGCTACACAGCAAGTTCAAGGCCAGCCTGGACAATATAGTAGGATCCTCTCTCAGAAAACAAAAAAATTAAAAAATAAAACAAAACAAAAACACTTTTAAAAACCACCATTTTTATTTATAAATTTTATTTCTTTTCTATTACCAGAGTCATTTTAGTTTTTAAATTTTAAAGATTATCATAATCATAGGTTCTTTCTCTCTAAAGATATATATTCCTACCTTTTACTTCTTACCCACAATGGAGATGGCAACTATGAATGTCACAGTATATTTTACTTTCTTTGGCATATAAAATCAGTAGCAAATTGTGATCACTTCTCACAGGTCAAACCAAATCATAGTTTGGATGAAGGATCTACCAGTGATCACAGAGTTTTCAGCAGCTCCACGGTGGTTAGACCTCGTTGATGAAAGCTTATCTGTAAACCAGAAGGCTAATTCAATAATAATGATTATTTTTATTTTGCAATGTTGACTATCATCCTAGCTTACCTCAGAACAGGTTTGAAATACTTCAGTGTGATAATCCCGACCTTGCTCTTCTGTTAGTTCTTTTAAATCATGTCCAGAAGAAAACACGGGACCCTCAGCTACAAATGTTTCCAAGTGAGAAAAGAAAAGAAAAAGACGTGAAACTTTAGAGGTGGGCCATTCATTTACTCATCTACTGAACAAGTTTAGTAACCAATCACATAGCCATCTAGGCTGTGGATACATGGAGAGAAAGTTAATTGCTCAATTTTGCTAAGAACAATTCTGGTTTACCTGGAAAGGTATAGACAGAATATAGTGATGAAATGCTCAAGTCCTTGTCTCCCAAAAGCCTATGGTAGAAACCAACCAATGAAAATAAGTAATTACATAAGGAAAACCTCTGTGACCTAGGTGAAGTGTTTTTTTTTTTCTTCCTATTTTGAACTCCATGGCTTGAATGTATGGACCCATGCAGGTCTCTTTCGAATTGTCTCTGTCACTTAGCACACAGGTAAGAAACACCCATAGGGGCTGAATCTGGAAAATCACAGTATTTTATAATATAAAATCGGAGAATATAGGAGCCATCTGGCTCAAGTTCTATATTTTACAAAGGAAGGAGCTGAGGATATGGCTCCTGCCTCTGTCATCAACAACAAATGACATTTTTCCAATAAGCTGATAACAGCTTCTCATATTTCTCCTTAGTGGCTATTTTGACAGGTAATAGTGTCTTCTTTTTTGCAAGTAAGAAATGGTGCAGCTAAGAAGATAGAGACCTTTGCTATATCCAGATTGTATCTCACATGGCTGCAGAATTCTACTCTTTTTAATTTCTTTTCCTTATGCCAATAAAAACTTTGTTTGCTAAGAAGGTAACATTCTGTGGATCTGGCTCTAGCTCTTTAATTTGCAAAATGAAGTATCACAGAACATTATTTGTTACACTTTTCTGAGGATATTTGAAAATGCTGACATTACTATTATTTATGCCTACACCAGCATCACATGAAAAGATAGTACTTGAATTACCCATATTGGAAAAGGAGCAAAGAAAGAGATGGGCAAAATATGGCACACTTTTTTGGCACCAGTAAAGACAATGCTGTGAAAATCAAATGTAAGGCCTGGTAAGAACAGAAAAGACAAACCAATCCAATGCCCAAACATTTCCTAATTGACTATATGACTTATCAGAAAGATTATTTATAAAGTCCATGAAGAAATGCTCTATATATTTTTTTCAGTTCTACAGAACAAACCCAGGATCTCATGCCTGCTAGGCAAGTCCTCTAGCAAATTTAGCTACACTCTAAGTCCTGATATTCCGATTTTAAGCATAGCAAAATGTGGCAAATTCTAGTATCTAACAAAAAAGAAAAGACACATATTAAGCATGTGGTATTTTGTGCTTCAATTTCCACAGTTAATAATGTTAGTACTAAGTTTTCAACTATATGAGTTCTCTGTAACAAATGTCCTTCAAAGGAGCCTTAAAACAACTCTCCAGTTAAAGGAAGGAATTCCCCAGTTAACCAAAGAAACTACTTCTGTGTGATGCAAAGCTCCAGGGATAAATATCAGATAAATACCTGAAATGATAATAACTTTCAGATCTTTGCTTTCGGCTTCATGAAGAATATCATTTTGGAGACACTTGAGCATTTCAAGTGACAATGCATTCCTCTTCTTTGGATTGCTCAAGACAATGGTTCTGTGAAAAACATTTTACAATCCTAGGGTCATGTACTCATCAAAACAAGCAAGGACCCTTGCAATTCCTTTCTAATTTGGGAGCTATTTTAAAATGCTGGAGAAGAAAATTGCTGGTGCTTAGTGCCAATTTAGAGGGTCTATCAGCTCTCTGGAGTTACAGCTAAGTCAAAACAAGAAAAAGACAACCTGAAATGCAGGCTGGTTTTTTTTCTCTTGTTTCTTGATTGGTTTCTCCTTTTTTTCTACATTTGCTGTCAGAAACATGACTGCCACCTCCACAGAAAGGGCAAGTCACAGCAGTCCAAAATCATCTCTGCCCATAGAGAATGTGAGTTTTCTATGACAGCAGCAGGAGCCGGAGGAATCTGACAAAACAGTACCTACCTTTAACTTATTTCCTGGTGTTATTTTTCAGAATAAGGCTAGGAAAGCAGCCAAGAATGAAAATACTCCCCTAAATCTCCTTCCACCCACCCAAAGAAAAGGCAGCCAAGGTACAGCTGCCAATATGCATATATGATAGCATTTTTTAAAAAATCTGTCTTAGAGCAGCATCCTGTTATTCTGCAAGATAATTCTCACTGTCTGAGAACTGGATGATGCACGAAGAACAAAAAACAAAACCATACAACAAGAGCAGTCTTCTGGACATATCATCCTGCAAAAAGCTGGCACTGAAAGAGCTGTTTGGTATTTTAAAGCATCCCACATACTGAATAAAACACCCCATATTGTTATTTTACTGCCTTACACAGAAATGTCTTATTTTTGCAGTTATAAGAAAGGGGCAATGAACCAAACCAGATTATTGTTATGGATTTTACATATTTCCTATCAGTTTCCACCTACATATGCTTTTTGCCTTTCTCATTCTTTTTTGAATTGGCTACTCCTATTGCTATGTAGTCAACCTGGCTCCTCTACAAATAGCATTCTGTGCCACAGGTTTTTTGGAAAACAACTTTGATGGTTGAATTTATTTCAGTGCAGTAAGAATAACCATTTTCTTCAGAATGCCATTTCAATTTTGCTGTAGTTTTCAGGTGGCTGTAATACTGTTTTGCTTCTCATAAACATGTTCTCTCATAAAGACAAAAAGTACTTGTGGCTAATGTGCTGACAGACTTTGAATCTCTGTTTGGCAGAGCAATGGTGGTGGTGAGTGACCTGCTCATAACTTTTCAATAGAATAATGAGTGTGCTTGCTATATCAAGTGTAAAACACTGCCATCCCATCAGCGACATATGTCTCAATGAAATTCTGCAAAAGTTCCAGCTGGACCCAAGCGAAGTGGCACATGCCTGTAATCTCAGAATTTAGGAGGTTGAGGCAGGAGAATTGCAAGTTTGAATCCTATCTGGGCAATTTAGTGAGACCCTTTGTCAAAATAAACAATTAGGGGATTAGGGATGCAGCTCAGTGGTAGAGTACCCCTTGGTTCAGTACCAGGAACTAACATATACATGTATACATAACAAAGGCTGGAATGTCCTTTCTATATGACAGTTAACTGTCCCTTTGTGTGTTTCATTAATCCTTTGGTGCACACATTACACGTTATTGGGCTGTTCTTCTATGAATGCACATTTTGGCCCTGTGTACAGGCTTCTGTTCCCACCTCTCCACTGAAACGCTTCTCACTGGTCACCTGATTGCCAGAACCAAATCCATGGCCATCTGGAAATGTATTCCTCTGACCCCAATTTATCTGTCCTTCTCTGGCCACCTCTTAACTTCTTACATGGACTTCTAGCCTTCTGCAATCTCAAAACTCTTAACAACCCTTAGAGTCCTCTCCCTTGCCTTTTTCTTTCTCTGTATAAAAATGCTTTGCATTGACTGCTCCCTGTGTGCCGCCAGCTCTCAGACACTAGCCCTGAGCTCTGAAACTGTGTTCACGCTGCTGTTTCTCTCCTAGACTGCTCCACACAGCCAACACTTGGGTGTCTTACTCCTGAACTTGCCCCTCTCCTTCTCTTATCGCAGCACTTGGGTCAGCTGCCCGAACAGAACCTGAAGAGCATTTCAGAGTTCTATCCTTCCTTATTCCACTGGTCATCAAATTCTGTTAATGATACTTCCTAAAAATCTCACAATACCTGTCTTGGTTCAAAGGATGTGATGCATTGAACCAAGAGTTTCACCAACACCACCTAACCAATGAGGTCACCAGCAGGGTCTATTACATAAATGTAGAAGCAAAACCTGGTCCCTATAAACGTCCCTGATGAGCTATGTGCAGACTATCACTGTAAACCATGAAAAAGTTCATGAAGTGAAGGATAATCATTCCACACATCGGACACACTCAACAAATATCTGGGACTAAGGGCTAGGGATTTAGCTCAGCGACTCAAGTGTTTGCCCGATAAGTGTGAGTTCAACCCACAGTACAAAAAAACAATGACAAAAACAAAAACCAACAACAGCAAAAAATCTGTGACTAAAGACAAAAATAGTATTTGTATTTTTCACAGCTGATTCCACCACCGCAGGGCCTTGATATCACATCTCCTTTGTGATATCTCTTTTACCAGTGGCTGTGCATTGAGATGGGACCACAGAGTAGAAATCTCTTCATGGGCAGAAACTTTCTAACTTCTGGTGATCCTATCTACTGGCTCTGTGGCCTTGGCCTAGTTATCACCTCTCTGTGCTTGACTCCTCCTTATAAAGTGGGGTAATGTTATCTATCCTCTAAAAGCTAAAGAATTAGGGATAATGAATGCAGAGTGCCTGACCTAGCACTTAATTCACAGCTGGTTCTCACTACACAATAGCAGTACTGCTGCAAGGAACACCTTGGTACAGGGACTCTTAAAGTGACTGAGTTGTTTAAGCCCAGGTGCTTGGTACCTAACACAGTGTTATGCCCAATGTCATGCTTCCAATCACATGTGAACAGCTTCACAGAAGTAGGACTACTCTGTAAAAACAGCAAATAGGCCCCTTCTGTGGATCTTGGGCTGCGGAGTCCTGCTCTTTCTTCCTGTACTGTCCTTAAGAATGGGAAAGGAGTCCACAAGGAACAGAACTAGGCTGTAGGGTATATGGGGTCAGAAATAACTATGAGCTTACTGGGTCTCTTGCAGACCTGTGCTAAGACTCTTGTAAGACAAAAGAGTAGGCGGAGAGGTGGAGGCAAGGAGAGGAGCCTTGAAGACACAGGATAAGCTGCAGGCCAGGGCTGGGGAACACCCAGGAGTCTGAGGATTGTAAATTCAAACTTGGCCTTCCAGATCAGAGTGGGAGAACAAAACACTGTATCATATAGCCTGGATCAACTCTTAATACTGAAGCAGACTTCCTTTTGTATTTTTCTACTTTCGCCGTGACCTTTACCCAGGCCAGCAAAAGATGAGCCTCAGATCTTAACACACAGGCACCTTCCAAACTTTATTGCTCCACCATGCGGCTTCCAGTTTGCTTGCTGCTGTGTCTTTAAGGTTTTTAGACTTGTGCAAAAGGGCAGAGCTCAGGGGGGCCTGCCTTAATCCTATTTGTTGATCTGCTGTCACTCCCACACTCCTTGGCTCGGGCCCAAGCAGGTCAGCTAAGCCTGCTAGCTTCCGCAAACTGACGACTGTGAAGGGCTCAGAATCTCCTCTTGGGTAGGGCTTTCCTGAAGGCCCTCTTGGCCTGGTGGTCACCTGACAGCCGCCCACGCCAGCCTTAAGGTAGAATAGCGACAAGACCTGGTTACCCCAGGAATCAAGGAGTGCTGGGCTCTTCTGGGGCAGTTCACTAGGTCCACGCAGGTGTCACGTGCTGCCATGCCAGGCTAGGGGGCGGCTGCAAACTCAGAATGGAGAAATTCCTCCTCCAAGAGATAAGTCAGCCAGATTGGGTCAAAGGCGGCGAGGACGTGACCCTCCCACCCGTCGGGCGCGCGGCAGGGCCCATCCGGCCCTGGACCCCCGGGAGCCCTCGCTGGCCGCGGGCTGACCTGATGCCGTCCAGCTGCCGCGTGCTGGTGGGGCGCGACTCGGACCCGGGTCCCCCGGAGACCTCCGGACCCCGGCTGCAAAAGCCGACGGGGAGCGGAGACCAGCGGCTGCGCACAATCCGGCCGGACCCCTTCGCCGCCAAGGCCCGCAGGCCCGCGAAAGTGGCCATGGCCGCAGAAGCCCGCGGGTCAGGCCGGACGCTGCCTGGCTCCGCCCGGCCGCGGGCTCCGGGAGCTCGGAAGGCGCCGGTGCGGGGCGAGCCGGATGGTGACCGCGAGACCCAAATGCAGAAGTCACAGTGCGCCCAGGCCCCGCGGAGTCCGCTCCAGGCCAGATTCCTTGCAGCGCGGGCCCCACAGCACCGGCTCCACCCCAGCTGCCCTCCCAGTTCTCCAACTGGCCCCACCGCTTCGCAGCCCCGGGCCTCCCCGCCCCAAGGGGCGGTGCGCTGGCGGGTTCCTAAGCAAGCTTTCCTAAGCCAAGTTTTCCTGCGGCTGCAGCTGTATCCGACCCCCTGCACCCTTGGAGAGAAAGACCCAAAACCTGCGGTCCAGCTCTGCGGTTGTTTGGTTTAGCAAGGCTGTGAGAAAGTTTAAGAAGGGGAGGACGGGATTATTTTGGGTTTTGTTTGTTTGTTTTTGGTTTTTTTTTTGCACTAGCACCTGAAACATGCTGAATGCCCTTGTTAGAATGAGTCATCAGTGCTGAGTGGTATGAGCTGTTACAAACGCGTGGTGCACACCACCCGCAGGAAACACTCTCAGGCCCTGAAGGGTAGCCTAGGCGGACTTGGAATTGTGAATGCTTTGTATCTTCTGCTGGAGGCCCAGAGGCCCGGAAGCCCGTGCGATGCAGATCCACTTCTACAGCGTGGCTTTTTGTCATGCACGGAGAATGGGCTGGAGCCTTTTGTGGGCTTTGAGCGGAGAGGAGACTGCACATTCTAAAGTGCTTAGTGGGGTGAGAGCATCCTCATTGCCAGTCACTTCCTGCAAGTGTCTAACTCCCAAAGTGTGCAGATTTGTACAGGGCATGGACTAAACGGTCCCAGGGGTCAGGATCTTACTGTCTCCAGGGGAGTTGCCATCCCTAGGTCCCTGCACCCTTTCCCGCAGTGAAGTTTTGCGAAGATAAATTATACAAAGGACATACTCAAATGAGGCCACTGAAGTTCCATTAGGGCTCCGGATCCTTCAGCTTCAAAACTGGACAAAATACTCTGTAAGGGACAATATTTGAAATATTAGTTGAGATCACCTCTACCACTCCATCATCCCTCCCCTCCGTTTCTTTAGACCTATTCTGAGAGGAGATAGAGCAAGGGCAAGTAAACAACAAAAAGCATGAGCGAAGATAACATGTCAAAATACCAGAAAACCAATAGACAAAAGTCACTGTCCCCTCTAGAACCCAAGGTATTCACAGGTGCATGAGTACATAACCCTGGCCTTTGTCCAACATCATTTGCATTGTGATCTTGACCCTCAGCCTGCCCCTTCTTTTCTGTGGCTTTCGGATACTGTAACACATCCTCTTGAAATAATGTGTTACACAAAAAATTCACCCAGTGAGTGAGCTGAGTAGGGTACCACACCAGGCCATGACTCCCATGAGTCCCCAGCTACAGCCTCTCCCATAATCCCAGACACTCAGTACCTTCCAGTACTGGGCCGAGAGCTCTCATCAGGGGCCTACACCAGCCCTGAGGAGTGACTTACTTTTTGGTTTACTTTTTTTACTCCTTTTTAAATCCCCAGGGCTTAAGACTAATTTTGTCATCAAGGTGCAAAAACATGGGTCTGTCAAACCCACATTTATTGTTTAGAAGAATTTCTGTTGATGAATTATTCCTTCAATTTTATGAGTTTTACATTAAATAATGAGTACTTAACAGGACAAAAATATTTAATTTTTAATATTTATTGTTTGTGAAAATGCAACAAAAATTTCAACATTAATTTTTTTGGTGTGCAAAGTCTCAAAAAGAACAACACAAATACATTCTCATATGAACTAAAATGAAAATACCAATAGCACTTTACAAAAAAAATCTTTACTTCCATTGTTCCACCTAAGGCAGGGTACACACAACAACAGCACGTTCCACACATATGTAGCATTGACACAACAGCACATGTATTTTGTTTTCTTGATCTTTTTGTAGGACATATTTGACATCTCAGTGGTTTTGCTGTTTTTTTTTGTCTTTTTCGTTTTTATTGGTACCGGGGATCAAACTCACGACTGCCTGCTTGCAAGGCAGGCGCTTATGCCGCTGAGCTAAATCCCCAGCCCCTGGTTTTGCTGTTTTGTTACTAGGTTCTTACTATATTATACAGCATATAGCTAACAGAAACATAAAAGATCAGTAAACTATTAAATTCTTACTATGTATTGTGCATTTAGAATAGACACCAACATTTTCACATCAGGGGTATACTAAACCTAGAAGATAACATCAGATGTAAGTTTCTATATGAACTTCAATGAAAATACTAATAAAAATCTACCACAACAAAAATAAGCTTTGCTCCACTGTCATACCCGTCAGTCTTCACCCATGAAAACTACATGTTCCATGTACATGCCTTACTTACACTAACAGCACAGTTAACTTTTTAATTTTTTTTTTGGTACCAGGTATTAAACTCACAACCATGCGTTTGCAAGGCAGGCACTTATGCCACTGTGATAAATCCACAGTTGACATTTTTTTTTTTTGCTTTATTTTGTTTTCCTGTTGTTGTAGAAGGTCTTTGCAATGCTGTTCCTGCCTCCCTGTTCATCTGTCAGCTTACCACTGTGCTCCACAATTTTTTGTGTAGTTCCCTGAGCAGAAACATTTTGTTTTTCCTGTGTTGCAAATGATCTCTTCTGAGCCCTGTCTCAATCATCTAAGAAAATTTCTCCGTGATATTTTGCACTCAGTTATTTTCTTTGCAAACTATCAAACTATTTAAGCCACACATGTCTAGGATTGAGTAAAACATACCCATTAACAATGCTTTGTGTTTGAAGTGACATCATAGTTGCTGCATAACTCATCAACATCTACTCCACCTTTGGTGTTGTTGTTGAAAGGCTTCCATGTTGTTGAGATTTCTCTAACAATATTTCCATCATGGTGAAACACTGACCTCAGCAGTATCAGTTTCTTTTTCTTTGCCCTATATGAGGCTAATTTTATATCTTTGAAATTTAAAGATTGTGCTGTATAATTCTCTGTTTTGAAATTATAACATTTCATTTGGAATTTGTGCTTTGTTTCTGTGTACAGTTCCTGTGTTGGTCAACCTGTATTCTTAGCAAATGTAACATCAGCTGGAAACTGGTTAACCAATTGTCCAGTGTCACATTCTGGTTAGTTTGGAAGGTGAGAGCAATAAATCAGAACAAGGGATTCATCCTGAGGTATTATTAAGATCTCCCTGACTTAGGAATAGAATCAAGCAAGATTTGTAGAAAAAAAAAGGTAACTATCTAGATATTGAGAAAAGATGGAGTAGAGAATGGAAATGTTGGGAAACCCTAGGTAGGACAGAAGTAATCTTGCTCTTTTTCTTTGATAGAACCTCAGGAAGGTCGTGAGACTGCAAGTGGTATGTAATGTCTGAGCAGATGGATACATGATGTCTAAATGCCACGTAGTTTCACGTAATCTGCTGAGAGGCTGTGACAATAGAATGGTCCTAAACCTCTGAGAAGGGCTTAGAACTAGCATGTGGATTGACATATTGAAGAAAAAACAGGAGCAATATTACACATGGATGACATCATGAGTGCTATAGTTTGGATGTGACATGTCCCCCCAAATTCTATTGTGAAGTCTTGGTAACCAATCGCTTGTACTATTGGTCCTAGTTGAAGGAAGTTAGTGCTAGAATGTGCTGAGGTAACAAAACAATAGCAAAAACAAGTCTTGATGGTTCAAACAACAAAGTCTCATTTCTCATTCTTGCAGCATGGCTGTTGTCATGCTTTGTATCTACTGAGGATCAGCTAAAGACTCGTGTTACATCAGCACTGTCCTTGCCTGGGTGCCGATGTATATCTCCCTGAATCTGTGATAGAGGGAAGGAGGGAAAAAAAGAAAAGAATGAAGAGAGGCATGAATTGGCACTTAAAATATCTGAAAATACTACTTGCTCTGATGTTTCACTTGCCAAAGCAAATCCTGTGGTCACATTGCACTTCAGAGTGCGGAAATACACCACTCTGTGTTTCAAACAAGGGAGACAAGATCTTTGCAAACAATCCTAATGACATGGCCACCCAAGTACAGTGCCTTAGAGTTAAGAAGTGACTACTGCTTATTATTCAGGGATTAGAAATACAATACTAAATGGGCCTAGTTGTCTGCCACTTAATAGAATGGAGGTTTAAAATAGAAATTAAGTTCATACAAAAAGTTAAATTTTAATAATTTATTTGTGTGTGTTTGCATCTTTTATTTTTGCTGTATTGAGGATCAAATGTAGGGCCTTGAGCATGCAGGAAAGCACTGTGTCTTTGGGCTACAACCCCAGCCCAAGTTAAATATTTAGAATACTTGAGCTTTTGCTGGGGTTTGTATCTATCTTCTTAGACATGCCAAGTGCCACAAATGATGCAGAGCATGCAAAATCCAAAAGCCTGATAAAAATTATCACCATTATGGGCCCAAGGCCACTGTTGGAGGATCTTTCTCCTTGCTAAAATTAGTTTCATTAGGAGAGCGGAAGATTTGAATGGGAAAAAATAAAGAGATCACTTCACTTCAACACAGGAGTTGGAATAAAAGAGAAAACTGGTAAGTAGTTGTCTGTTGGTATCTGCATAGGGTTGGTTCTAGGACTCCCACATATGCCCAAATCTATGCCTGTTCATGAAATGGTGTAGTATTTTCTTACACATATCCCACATATTGAACCCAAGAGTGCTGTACCACTGAGCCACTTCTCTATATCCCCAGGGTCTCACTGAATCACCCACACTGGTCTCCAAATTGTGATTTTTCTGGCTCACCATCCTGAGTGGCTTTAACAATATGTGCCCCCACACTGAATCATCTCCGGGCTACTTATAAAACCCAATACCTACAAGTCACTTTATTCATGTCGATTTACCATAATACACAATGTAGCAAATTTTCTGTGTTTTGGAACTTCCTGCAATTCCGCCTCTTCCCCTCTCCCCTGGCCTTTTTATACCGTGGTTGGATGAATTCATGGTGTGTAATTTATGGATACAGAGGGCAGACTGTGCAGGATTTTGAGAAAAGGAAGAAATTGGCAGGATACTCAGAGCCAGAAAGTCATGGATTAAGTGAAGTTTTGGAAACATTACTTGCTTCTAAATTTTACTTAATAATTGCTTTTAATGGAGCCCCTCACTCTATGCCAGGCCTATATTTG